CTGGGGGAAGAACCTTTCCCTGAGATCCATCCCAACCCCCCTGGCACAGCTCCAGCCCTTCCCTGGCTCCTGTCCCTGGTCCCAGAGCAGAGCTCAGCGCCTGCCCCTCCGCCTGCCCTCGGGAGGAGCTGCAGCCCCCGAGGAGTCTCCCCTCAGTCTCCTCTGCTCCAGCTGAACCAGCCCAGTGCCCTCAGCTGCTCCTCACACCCTTCCCATCTCCATATCCTCATCTGGACACTCTTCAACACCTTTAGATCCTTCTGGTACTGCAGCGCGCAACCCATACAGTGAAATATCGAAACAACCCGACATACACAGAACAGCATTAGCCCTCGGGGCGGTCAAGATATTTTACGGGAAAAGAGCGATATGCTGTTACTCAGAAAGCCCATTACTCAACAAAGAGAAGACACGCTGCTACAGCCACATCCCCTTGTTGTGCCCCGCACACCGCTTCGTTCTGCCTCACACACAGCCCTAAAAAGGCTGTGTTTAAAAAAAAAGACGTTCAAAACAACAACAAAAAAAATTAAATGCAGCCACAGCCGGGCGGGCAGGGAGCCCCCTTCACCTGCCTCCTGCCCCCCCCTCACACCCCCTCAGCCCCTCACACCCGCCCCGAGCGGGCAAACTCCGGGCCGGGGTGGGCGGGCAGACCCCGGGTAGGAGCGGGAAGACCCGGGGCCGGGCGGGCGGACCGGGACCGGCGTGGGGACAGCCGCGGGTCCGGGCTGGCATTGCCCGGTGCCCCCTCACCAGTTCTGCAGCAGTTGGACGTAGCGCGGCCCCAGCAGCTGGTTCAACATGGCGCGGCCTCAAAGTCACCCCCGCGGCGCCTGCGCGGGGCGGCGATGGCGGCGGGGCCGGTTCGAGCAGGCGCGGCGGGAGGAGGCGGCTCCGGAGCTCCCTGAGGGGGGCTGGAGGACACCGGCGGTCGGGGGTGTTCTCCGTGTGGAGAGGGAACACGGGGCAGGGGGGACACCAGCCCTAACACAAGCCCGGGGGGCTGATGGGGACAAGAGCCCCGACACAAGTCCTGAGGCGACACAAAGCGGGAAGGGTGAGGGGACGGACTGTCCTCACGGCGGAGAAGGGACAGCAGCCCTGCCGCGAACCCTGAGGGGACACAAGGATTGAGGGGGCGAGAGCCCTGACGTGAGCCCTGAGGGGACACCAGCCCAGAGTGGGTGGGCTGTCCCCACGCCGGAGAGGCAACACGAGTCCTGACAGGAGGAGTGAGGGGACACGAACCCTGAGGGGACACCAGCCCTAACACGAGTCCTGAGGGGATGATGGCTGACCCCACGCTGGAGAGGGGACAAGAGCTGCGACGCAAGTCCGGAGGAGACACAAATCGTGAGGGGAGAGACTGTCCTTGCACCAGAGAAGGGACGCCAGCCCTGACACGAGCCCTGAGGGGACATGAGCCTGGAGCGGATGATGGGCTCTCCCCACACTGGAGTGGGGACACGAATCCTGAGGAGACATGAGCCCTGAGGAGACATGAACCTTGAGGGGTAGGGCTGTTCCCATGCTGGTGAATGGGACATGAACCCCAAGGAGACATGAGCCCTGAGGGATTGGGTTGTCCCCATGCTGGAGAGGGAACATGAGCCCCGGGGGGACAGGTGTCAGAGAATGCAATGGTTGATGTCTTAAACATGTTAAGATCACCAAAAGACTTCTGTCCACGGTAGCAAACTGCAAAGAAACAGCTGCCCACCCCTCCCTGAATACGCCTCCTAATTTGAACTGCTAAAGGACCTTGAGGTAAGATAAGGGGGTACTATTGTCCAGCTACCCCAGGTGTAGAAGGGCCTCCATACCTGAAGCTACAAACTGGATTTCCAGATAAGGGAAGAGTCTAATTAAAAGGCAAATCCTCCGAAGTGGGGTAGTCCTTCTTATCATACCAAAGTCCGTCCTTTCCTGATGACTCTGCTGTAGAAACCCCTCCGGGGAGCATCGAAGACATTCACACCTAACCTGAGCTATTCATCTCAGATGATCGACCCCAACGGGTCATGATTAATTCTGACATAATAGGCAGCTGTAATATCTTAAGAAGGTGTCAAAGGCTCATGAGGTGTCCCATGATCCAGTATTACATCATCCATTTTAAAACTCCCCACACCGGGAAGAGGTACAAGGTGTTCCCACCTGAGCCTGAGTGGGAACTCGTATAACTCATCAAATCTTTGAGTTTTGTGGATTTCCCCCACCCTTAATGGATCAAGACCGCCTCTTTCTCATCCTTTCTTTCTCTTTCTCTCCCTTATACATTTTCCTCAGTGTTACTTTTATGCTTTAATATTGCTCTATCACTATAGATTACAACAACCAAAACGGCTACATACCTGTTTTTTCTGTGAAGCAAAATTGTTCTAAAATGAACTACACACATATATATATATTTACAAACACTGATCATTCAGTGTCATTTCACTCTAATCCATCCCAAGGGACCTATTAGTAAGAACCTGGGTTACCCTCGCCTTCTGGGGCTGGTCATAACAATGGGATGTCCCCGTGCTGAAGGGGGGACACCAGCCCCGAGGTGATGGTCTGTCCCTAGCCCTTAGGGGTGGCACTGTCCCTGCAGTGAGCTGGGACTGCTTCCCACCCTCTGTGCTGAAGGGTAGTGGTCCCTTCCCAGAGAGATCTCCCCAGTGCCTGTCAGTGCCTCCACAAACCCTCCTGTCACGGCTGCTCAGCCTCTCCCTACAGGAGAGGGAGCTTCCAACCCGATTTTTCAGCAGAGGGTCCTAAATTCACCATCAGTTCCATAATGTTCCCAGGACTCTGCTCCGAGCCTGCTCAGCCTCTCGTGAACCTGCAGGAAGAACACTGGAAAAGGCTGTCCCAGCCCTGGAAATGTCCAAGGCCAGGTTGGACAGGCCTTGGAGCAACCTGGGCTGGTGGAAGGTGTCCCTGCCCATGGCAGGGGGTGGAACAAGATCGGCTTTAAGGTTCCTTCCAACTCAAACCATTTTGGGATTCTGTGAAAATCCCGCAGGATGTTAGAGCTTGAAGTGCTTGTCTGCCTGAGGCTGGTGGACGCACTGCCAAAGCCTCAGGGCTGCAGATGCTTCCTGGGCTCCCCTGTGCAAACCCACAGGAATGGTGTCCAGTGTCCAGCAGCAATTCCAGCAGCTCTCACCTTCCTTCCCACCCTGCTCCAAGGCAGCACCTCCCCACTGGAACCGGGGCACAGAGAGGATCTGCAGAGCTCAGTGCTCCTGGGTGCAGCTGCCCCATCTCTGTTTATCCCACAGACAAGCTGGCAGTGGAGGGCTCCCCCAGCCACTGAACCCACAGGGGTGTGAGCCATGAGGATCTAGGGAAATTCCTGCTGAGTGGGGGTGCAACACCTCAGGAGCTGCCTGGAGGAGCCTGGAGGATGAGGGCAGGTAGAGCCTGGGCAGGGCAGCACAGTGAGGGGTGTGAGAGGCTGGGGCTGGGCCCTTGGCACAGAGTGACAGAGACCCAACTATTCACCCTCGCCCCTCGGATGGGGATGGGGGTGGGAGAGTGAGAACCTGCGAGGCTGGGCCATCTCCCAGTACCGGATGCATCCCATTCTTGCAGGGTTTGAGCCCTCTTGAACCTTCTGCCCACGTTCTCTGCAACTACTATTGCTCCCTCCAGCTCCCTGACAGGAGGGTGGAGCTGGCTGGGGGTCAGGCTCTGCTCCCCCAGGGAACAAGGGACAGGACAAGAGGGAACAGCCTCAACTTGTACAGAGAAGGTTTAGGTGGGACATTAGGAAAAAATTCTTCATGGGAAGGGTTGTCAAGCCTGGGGCAGTGGTGGATTCTCCATCCCTCAAAGTGCCCAAGCGGTGTGTGGGGGTGGCACTTGGGGACCTGGGTTAGTGCTGAACACAGTGCTGGGTTGATGATTGGACTTGGTGATTTAAAAGATCTGAGTGATTCTGTGATTCCGTGAATCACCACCACCAGTCCGTGCTGAACTCCTGGGACGGACTGGGGGGCATTTGACCCCATCTCCAAGGTGCACCCTGGGGGTACCCACTTCCACTGGGTTCTGTCCAGGACGGGGCTGAGCCCACTGAGCACAGCAGAGCCACGGGAGAGGCTGTGCTGCCCCAGGGAGGGCCCAGCACCTCCAAAGCCTTCCTGATGGTGCTGGAAACGGTGCTCTGATCCTGCTGTGATGGAAAGTGCTGGAAACCCTCCCCAGAGGCCACATTCCCAGTGCATGTGTCTATGTGTCTAGCGGACAGTGTCCCTGCCCATCGCAGGGGTTGGAACAAGATGGGCTTTAAGGTCTCTTCCAACCCAAACCATTCCAGCTGTGCCAGAGCTGATGCAGGACCTGTGCCCAGTGTCTGAAAACCTGTCTGGTATTTTTTTTTTTTTTTGTTTTGTTTTTGTTTTTTTTTTAGTACAAGGTAAAACCTTTATTCCAACTTCTCATCCCTAGGAATACAACACCTGAAAGACAGACATGGGGGGAAAAAAAAAGGAATATTGTTATAAAATGTCACATTTATTGCTACATTACTGTTATATACAGGACAGTTCTCAAAATCTACTTTAAAAAAGTTAGGATTATTTAAAAATTCCAAATAATCCAGCCAGCTGTTTTGACACTTGTATAAAATTATTTAAAAAAATGAAAACAATTCATATCTTGAGGCACTCAGAAACACAATTTCATCCCCCAATTGTGATTCATTTCAAAGAGCAACGCATTTCCCACCCCCAAATACTTTATTTTTTTATTTTTTTTTTGCTGGGTTAGGCATATATATATATATATTTACTATATATATAGTTCAAAACTATAATGTGTATCTGATTTAAGAACAAGGATTTCAGCCACTTAAGTACATCTGGATTTACAGGTAGGCAGCATAAACATCAAAAGCAAGGACCATTTTATTTTTTTAAAGGCCAAAAACCAAAACCAACCAGGGTTAAAAATAAACAACTTCCGCAGGCATCTCCCATCTGCTCTCCCACCCCCCATCCTACAAAAATAGAGAGAAAGAGCATCCCAGGAATGCTTTGTTTGCCCAGCGAGCTGGAGCCCTCCACTCCCAACAGGTCATTCCCAAGAGCTGGAACCCTCCACTCCCAACGGGTCATTCCCAAGAGCTGGAACCCTCCACTCCCAACGGGTCATTCCCCAGCATGGGGTTGGGATCACCCCTGTCCTGCCTCTCCAGGTGCCTCTTTCCCCTCTCCTGGCACAGTCACCATGGCTGGTGTGAGGCTTCCCACAACCCCTTCCCTGCCCAACAGGCCCCACATTACAAGGTTTGCTCCAAAGCTGGTGGGTCCAAGTGATTTGGGAAGACACGGATGGCACTGGGAAGGGGGACCTGTGGTGTCCCAGCTTGCTGCCTCGAGGAGCAGCAGGGCTGACCCAAGCACAGCCCTGGCACGCAGGGCGTGGGGACGTTCTTGGTGCCAGAACACCCCATTTGGAAGCAAAAAGCCCCTCTGCTCTCCTGTGCTGGTGCCACAGCTGAGATGGGATGAGATGAGATGAGATGAGATGAGATGAGATGAGATGTAGCGGGGGGAGTGTCAAATTTTGGCCCTCCATCATGGCAGGTGCTTGGTCGGGCCAGGATGGGAACTGAGAGGCCCGAGGAGCAGGAGATGGACAAAGCCAGGGGAACAGTAATACCAGCGAGGAGAGCCACGGCAGGACTGCCTCCTGCCCTGGGCTGGGCTGCAGGATGGGCACAAAAGGTTTGACAGAACACCTGGAGACTGCAATACCCTCCTAACCAGAGCCCACCCTCTTGTGGGAGTCCTGCAGGCCAAGGCATGGCAGGGCTGGCTCCCAGGAAAGGCTGAATTGCCCTAAAAATCAAAGTACAGAGCACCAGATCCCCCCACAGCTGCAGGGAGAGGCAGCCATGGTGTGGGACTGACTTCCCGAATCCTCCTGCCTCCACCAAGGCTGGTGCCACCCTGCCAAGGGACACAGCTCAGAGGTGCTGGCTGGAGAGACTGAGGAGCAGGGGAGACAGGGAGACACTTCTTCAGGCTTGGGGGGGCTGAAGGGGAACAGCCAAGCCAAGCCTGAGGCTCAGGTGTTAAGAAAACAGCAACGTGGTGGGACTCAACTTCTCCCTTCGGGGCACAGAGGGATGAAGGATGGCAGTGAGCAGAAGGCACGGGAGGGTGAAAGGGGTGTGGAGGGGCCCCAGGCCTTGCCCCCTCCAACTGAGTGCTCAGCTCCCACAGAATGACTTGTGACGGGTGTTCCTGCGGTCTCAGCCCCTATCTACCCCTTCCCAGCTCCAGAGCACAGGGTTTGGAATGCTTTTGGAGCTGCTAGAAATAAAACTGCACTCTGAGAGCAGCAGGGAGGGAGAACTCAGCAGTCATGGGACAAGGGCAGAGAGAATGGGCTGGGATGGGACCTGGAGAGTCCTGGTGAGAGGAGAGGGGGTTGCATAGGATTTAACAGGGCAAAGACCTTGTGCAAGCTTGGGGGACAGAAAACAGGCCTTGCTATTGCTGGTGTCGGGCAGGAATGGGCAGTCCAGTGGCCACAGCTTGCTCTGGGTTAGCCAGCACTGCAGGAGGGGCTGATGGCTTGTCCTGGCCCAGCTCCAGCCCCAGCTTTGCTTCACATCCCAAAGCCCAGGCCAGGGCCTTGCTGAGACTGGAGCTGGCCCAGGGTCCTCACTAGAACAGAGCAGGGCCTGCAAGAGGATCTTGGGCTCCACTGGCCCCAAAGCTGGCAGCAAAGCTCAGGGGGTGCAGGGGTTGGGGGTTCCAAAGCCTCTTGTTTCTCAAGAAACCCCCAACCTGCTGAGGGGAGGATGTGGGGAATCACTCCATGAGGGCTGAGGGCCCAAAGACTCTGCTGGCTCCAGTGGGGACACTGGGGGGGCACAAAGGACCTTCGAGAGCAGGTTCTGCACTGACCCTCGAACTGCAGTTGGTCTGACTGGGGGTGGCAGGGAGGTGGCTGCAAACAGCTGGAATTCTGCTCCCTGGGCTGTGAGCAGCAGCAGCAGCAGCAGGAGCAGGCAGGCTGACACCACCACCCCAGCACGAGCCCAGGAAGGTGAAGGCCTGGGGGGCTGCAGCTGCTTTGCTCTGGGGTAAAAGCGGGTGAAAAGGGAGAAAGAACAAAAATCTGCAATCTTACTGTTAATAAACCGGATTCCAGACACTCCTCAGCACCGTGGCATGAACAGCTCATGCAGGGAGGCAGGGGGCTGGCTGAGGGGGGAGCAAGGGAGACCCCTGGGGCTGGGGACCCCAAGACTGTGCTCCAGGACTGTCCCTGCCCCACAAGGAGTGTCCCAAGGCAGATGGGAACCCAGTTCTGCTGCTTGACTGGGAAACAGAGTGGGAAAAGAGAAACTAGAAGCTGCACACAGGGGAAGGCAGCCCCTCGATCCCCTGTCTGATGATGGAAGCTTTGGGGGGGCTCTGTGGCCCCCAACGAGGACAGGCACATGCCCGAGGAGCACCTGTGCATGCAAGGCTGAGAGAAAACTGAATAAATGGCACCCTACAGTCTGTCACCCCCCTGGGACACCTCTCTTGGCAGCACTGTGGGTGTGGGGGACATGCAGGCAGGCAGAGAAGCAGCTTTGGGGATCTGTAAGATCCCAAGTGGTCTGGCCAGCACAGCCCGGATCTGTCCCTTGGTGACCATGACACCTAAAGAAAAGAGTTTCATTGCCACAGGAGGACATTTTAGGGTGGTATTTTGGGGACTGCACCCGATAGTGCTCGTTTTTAGAACAGCCACTTTCCCTGGCAGGTTGCAGGCACTTCATTCACACCGAACCAAACACGCTGGGAAGCCAAAGGAGTTTTTCCTTGCTGCACTTCCCAACTGCCCCGTGAGCACCTGGAAAGCAAAGATGCCACCGAGGCCACACTGGGCTGGCACACAAAGCTGTGCCATCGAGGTGGCACAGCACTGCCACCCCCACACTGTGCTTTTGAGCTGGAGGAACCAAGATCTCCTCCAAACCCTGGCTCTGAGGGTTTGTGCTCAAGGATCTTCACCCAGGCCTTGCCAAGGAAGGAAGCTGCCTGGGTTTGCCATCAAGAAAACAGCATCTCAAGCACTGAAATGCAGCTGAAAAGCCCCATCTCTGTCACAATGCCTGGGAGTTCAGGGATGGTGGGAAAGGCTCTGGCTCATCACGAATCCCCCCTGGCCTGCAGGACTTGGAGGAGATGAAGAAGTTCAGGAAAAATTTTGAACAACTCATGAATCTTCTCAAATTTCCAATTTTGTTCAGTTCCTGGATTTTTCTTGACTAGTCTCTGTAAGTCCAATTGTCCACAACTGCCACCTTCAATTCTTGGGGCAGAATCAAAGGGTTTGGGAAGCACTTTAAAATTTTTTGTAGGGCTTCAGGCTTGCCAGATCTGGGACACTGCTCCATCCCTCCCACTCCTGGGGCAGGGGCACTGAGCCAGCTGAAAACCCTGAGCAGTGAAAGCCCTGCAGCCCCATCACTGTCCACTCATGGAGCAGGAATTCCCATGGGATGAAGCCACCTCTCACAGCTGCAAAAAGCAGCTGCTGAGCCCCCACAGAGCACAGATGGGAGTCAAGGACTGTCACACGTGGAGGGAAACCTCATCCATCTCACTGCCCCGGGCTTCAGCAGCCAGAAGAACCCAAAGGAGGGAAGTGTCATAACCTGGCGAGCTAATTAGGCTAAAATGGGTCTGTTGACACAGGCAAGAAGAACCTGGGCTGCTGGAACTGCTGAATTTTCCTGGCCTTCCTGGGAACACAGCTGGGGGCTGCTGTGGTTTCAGGTCTCCCCACACAGAAGGAATGGTGGGATCAGCAAGCTGGGGAAAGCCAGGAGCACCCAAAAGCTTCAGAGCTAAGGGTGGATGCTGTGGAGCCCCAAGGCAGTGCCAGGGGCAGCAGGGACAGTCCCAGTGCTGCCCTGGCACTTGGACTGGCTCCTCTCAGAGATGCTGCAGGAGCTGAGGCCACAGTGCCCAGGTGAGGTGGGAGATAAGCACTTCCAGCAGGGTTTGCCAGAGCACAAAGTGCAGCCACGAGCACAGAGGAGCACCAGGAGGTTATGCCAAAGCCCGGGATTGCTGGGAAGTGCTACAGAACCCAGTCCTGTTTGCCAGTCCTTCCCTTTGCCAAAGCAGCACAGCTCCCCCAGGAGCAAAGGCTGGAGCAGCAGAGGGAAGAGATGGACCCTGTAGGGGAGAGGGGGGGTCCTACCGTACTCATCGTCCCCACGTCCCCCCCAGACCAGCACTGTCTTGTCTGACTGGGCTCTGCCAGGCACATCTGGGCAGCTGTGGCCCCAGTCCAAGAACATTCCAGATGTCACACTCTCTGGGGAACTGCCCCATCCGCCTGCAGAGCTGGGAGGAACCAGGCACAAAACGTTTCAGAAGGGGAAGGAGAGGGAAGAAACAAGAGTGAATTCCCGGCGGATGCTTTTCCATGGCCACCTCCAGAACGGCTGCTGCAGCTCAGCACTGCCCAGCACCTCTTCGTTTGCTCCACATCTCCAGGCCACCCAGTGGGCCTGCCAGGGATCTTCCTCCTGCTGAGCACTCTGGAGCAGCACTGGGAATCCCTGGCAGTGGGGGATGGCTGGCCCAGCTTGGCTGCTGGAGCACGTCCTGCAGGGCAGGAGCTCCCTCTTCCCTCCTTCCCAGCACGGAGAGGAGCCCGCAGGCAGGTGAAGTTACCACTCACATCCCCACGGGAAGCCTGTGCCGAGCTCACTCTGCCTCCAGGGATGCCCTGGAGATGTCACAGGAGGTGACAGTGGAGTGTGAGGCCCCTCTCCCCGAGCCTTTTCCACTTCCAGTGGCGGTGACTCCAGTGCAGGGAGAAGGGATCCTGCTGCTGGCCATGGCTTGCCAAGGGCTGGAGTGAGCCCACATTCCAGGTCTCTTCCTGCCCCAGATACTGGGCTGCCTGGCCCCATGTCCTGCTGCTGCCTCCGCCTCTTCCCAGTGCTCCAGCTTTGTTCACTCGGTCTTTGTTCAGCGCTGCTCCTGGAACTGCCTCCGACAGCTCAGGCGTGTGGGGAAGAGGCTCTTCCTTCCACCTCGGGCTTTCCTCGGGCATCCGTGTTCCTGCTCCGCTTTGCCTGGAAGTGCCCCAGTGCCTTGGATCTCTTCCAGCCCTGCTCCCTCCCGGCAGCTCCGGGACAGCCGTGGGGCACCTCCTGTGCCACGCCAGATCTCCGGGAATAGAGCAAACCTTGCAGAGCACCTCGGTCGCCTCCCGGGAGGAGCAAGGGGCGCTGCTGCCACTTGCTCTGCTGTTTGACTTCCTTTTCCCAAATCAGAAGTGGCCAAAGCAAAAGAGATGGTGAATTCAGCACGTGAGTTTGTTTGTTTGTTTGTTTTTTATCATGGAAGGTACAAGCCAGGCAAGGAAGAACATCCCCTTGCTGGTGGCTACATTCGCTTTTAGTGGCTTTCCGAGCCGAATCTGAGAATTCCTCTCTTTATATCCAGTC